TTGGGCCATCCTCCACTGCATTATTTCATTAATGCACTTCCATGGTGCATTAACAGAAGGCTGGATTGGAAATGGAGTTGCTGGGACTGGAACTAACTCTCAGATACGGGATGCTGGCATCTCAATTGGTGGGTTAACACATTGGACCACAGTGCTGGCCCCCAAATTTTTTATCTCAAAGAAGGTATTAGACAGTTTTGAAAAGAGTTTAGCCTTCTGTGAACTGCTGAGATATCTCCCACTTGTAATCCTCTGCAACTCTTTAGAAAAGTAACCTTTCTAAAAGTTCCCACTCAGACACCCGGGCTACCTACCATCAGAGATTGGTCTAGAGAGAGTCAGGTTTGGAGGGTGAGGGTGTGGCATGGGACCTGTGAATGGATGTGAGGGCCCATGGATCTTTCTTTCTGAAGCTGTACAATTTTGGGTAGACATGAGCTTTCAGGGGGGAGAGGGTCTATAGTGTTGATTATATTCCCAAAGGAGCCCTAATGGGATTCAGGGTTCGGCTGGCTTGTTTGTGGGCTGGCCTTCTCTGAAATTGTACGAGTGGAAAACGACAACACACACACACACACACACACACACACAGAAGGCTTCAGTCTGTTGGATGGAGCCATAGAAGAGCCCCAGACTCTCCTATAGACTCGTGTGTACCTGTGTGAGTGGCCGTGCCCTTGTTGGTAATAAAGTGGGGAAAAGGATGGGAAAGCTTCTTGTAGAGAGTGTGATAGATTTTTCTGTTCCTTGTGGAGCAATTTCAGTGGTGTCGGCTGACATAGGAAGAATGGTTCTCTCTTAACCACAAGGAGGTGGATTACTATTGGGTTTGGAGTTGAAGGACAAGCTGGTGTGTGAAACAGAACCATGTGTGAATGCTTTCTCAAGTGTTTCATTAAAGATTTCTGAGAGTGCTGCTCCCTCTAACCGTGTTGCAGTCTCTGGCTTCTGATTCCTTTGTGGAATTAAAAATGCTTTGGGGAAGAAGGGCTAAATAAGCCTTTTGTTTGCATTTTCATATATTGATTAATGAACACAGCAGAGCAGCCTGCTGTGATTTCTGTGTGCTGATGGTAGCCATCACAATGAGCAGAGCTGTCCTGAACTGGCACTTTCCATGCAGCCTGTAGGCTGCTATATTGGGTGTGACAATTTTTAAAAAGCCACGGTGCTAGAATGAAAACAGGCTATTTCCAAATGGCCTATTGATTTGCAAAACCTTTTTGTGTCAAGTTGAATGGTCTCATATCTGAGTGGAGGGAAAAGATGCAGGTTATTTTTCATTTATGATTGTGTCTTAAAAGTTTTGAGTTGACAGTGTTTCAGTGGGGATGCTTGCCTCTTGTTGAAAAGTCTCCTTGCATCTCAGGCCTTGGTGATACATGTAAAAATCTGGCTCATTACCTTACACTATAAATGACTTCCGTAGTTCCACTTACGATGTGAATCACAGTCAGTAAATATGGATCCAGAAGGCTTAATTATGACTCAAGTTCACCCGTAAACTTGGGGACCACCTCCCCACCAATGCTCACCACAGGGCTGTTTACAGAAGAAGTCATCAGGAATTGGTAGGTGGCTCTGTATGCCTGGCCTACATGGCATGTATTCATTTGCCTCATCACATATTCAAATCTTAAAGCTGATCTGGACTCTTCATAAGAGTTACAGATGGTGATAAACCATGTCTGATTGTACTTGAGTGCTGTGAGTTTTTACCTATCTGCAGAGGGTACACGGGTGGCTCTTGTACAAAAATGCAAGGTCTAGGTTTAAAGAATGTCTTCTTGGGTCCAGTCCTGTGTTGTAGCAGGTAAAGCCTCTGCCTGCAGTGTCTGCATCCCATATCGACGCCGGTTAGAGGGGAAGCCGTAGAAGATGGCCCAAGTTCTTGGGCCCCTGCACCCACGTGGGATACCCGGAAGAAGCTCCTGACTCCTGGCTTTGGATGGGCCCAGCTCCGGCCATTGCCACCATTTGGGAAGTGAACCAGCAGATGGAAGACCTCTCTCTGTCTCTGTCTCTGCCTCTCTGTAACTCTGCCTTCCAAATAGAAAAATAAATCTTTAAAAAAATTAAGAATGCTTTCTTTGTCTTAACATCTGAGCTGACTTGGTATGGTTCCTGGCTTAATACTTTTAGCCTCTTGAGCTTTTGTAGATGTTTATTACTTCCAAAAATAATAATAATAATAATGACAAACAATAAGGGACTTTTAGAAATCTCCCGTTTGCTAGGTGTGTCCTCAAACATGAAGACTAAAGGAGAAAGAATGTCCTAAGAATTGCAAGTGTTTTTGCTACAGAAACTTGCTCTGGTTCATCCTGGGAGGGATTCTTCCATCTTCAGACCAGAGTGAGCAAGGCACCACCCTTTCAGCTCATTTTTAACCCGTATTTTACCCCATCACTGCAGTGCCTTCTTTTTCCCTGAGGGGCACAAATCTTAGGGACAAGCGAGGAGCTACTGGAAGAGGCTATGACCACCAATGGACCAATGAAATTCCTAGGCTGAGCCTTGTGTTTAAAGTCCCAGTTTTTTGTTTGTTTGTTTGTTTGTTTGTTTTTTGACAAGCAGAGTGGACAGAGAGAGAGAGAGACAGAGAAAGGTCTTCCTTTGCCGTTGGTTCACCCTCCAATGGCCACCGCGGCCGGCGCGCTGCGGCCGGCGCACCGCGCTGATCCGATGGCAGGAGCCAGGTGCTTCTCCTGGTCTCCCATGGGGTGCAGGGCCCAAGGACTTGGGCCATCCTCCACTGCACTCCCGGGCCACAGCAGAGAGCTGGCCTGGAAGAGGGGCAACCGGGACAGAATCCGGCGCCCCGACCGGGACTAGAACTCAGTGTGCCGGCGCCGCAAGGTAGAGGATTAGCCTAGTGAGCCGTGGCGCCGGCCTTAAAATCCCAGTTTTAATACTGAGTTGCTGCTTTGCAATAAACGTGAAATAAAGAATGGGCAGCCTTGAGGGCTGGGCACTTCACTGACTTGACGTCAGTTTTGGTGGTAAGTAAGACCATGGCATTAAACAGATAATAACTGACCCTAATTCTGTGTGCGAGAGTGTCCTAGCACATCTTGTACACATGTAGCACACGCCATCTTTAATGGGGTTTGGCAGCATAATGCTGTGTAAAATTTCCTCTTACTGCTGTATTCCAGGAAATTGAGCTCAAATGTGCCCCTGTACCTTTTATCTCTTCCACAGCAAATGTCTGTCAGCAGCAGTTTTATTGGGTGGTCTGAGTATATAGTCTAAAAACCGAGTGTTTAATCGAACATTTTTGTACTAAAATTGAGATACCTAGTACCTCAGGAAAAGTTAGATAATTGTGCTATTTAAAAAATTGGGTGGGTGGGGGGCTGGCAATGTGCCACACTAGTTTAAGCCACTGCCTGCGATGCTGGCATCCCATAGGAGCGCTGGTTCAGTTCCTGGCGGCTGTGCTTCTGATCCAGCTCCTTGCTGATGTGCCTGGAAGGTAGCAGAGGATGACCCAAGTACATGGACCTCTGCCACCCAGGTGGGAGACCTGGATGGAGCTCCAGGCTCCTGACTGTGTGCTGGCCTAGCCCCTCCCATTGTGAGTGAACCAAAGGATGGAGATCTCTCTCTCTCTCTCTTTCAAATAAATAAATCTTTTTTAAAAATTGTGCATATTTCCAAACTTTTCCCCTCTTTTTTGTCCTTCACATTTCCTCCCCCGTTTTCTGCTCTTGAATTACAGCCTCCTGAGCAGCCTGGTGGCTTAGAGGCTCTCCTACTAGCCTGGGAGGGTGAGTAACAGAAACCTTATCTATGTAGCAGATAACCCTGAAAGTGGGGCTGCCGGCTTTGTCTTTGAGAACTGTCCAGACTGCTGTGAACTGAGCATTTTGTAAAATAAGTAAGTGGCTTCTGAGCTGTTGGAGAAGGGGAAAGTTGGATCTCAACAAAAGTACCACAGGAGCAGAATCCAGCTGGTACATAGAAGCAGTTGTTCTTCCACCTAGTAGGCTAACTGGAGCCAGGAATCTGGGGGATGTTTATTAATTGGGCTTTTGTTTTTCTGTGTTCAGCTTACCTTGTGCAGGCTATGTTCCCGTGGTCCCTCCTATCAGGGAAAATAGAGTTTTGAAAGTCTTCATATCAATTTCTCTTCTCCTACTTTTGCATACCTCCAAGTGCCTTTGTTTAGGAACTCAATATTTTCTGTTGAAGTTGATTTTCAAAAATTTAATGAACATATTTTAAATAAAAACTGTCTCTTATTCGAACCTAGAAGCTGTTGTAATGTAATGATACACAAGTACGTACTCTTCCTCTACCTGGAAGAATAGTTAGAATACCCTTTCTAAGTCATTGGCTTTGAGTGTTGAACCTTAAACTCAGCTCAACTATGGGAGCAGAGAGCTGGATCAGAAGTGGAGCAGCTGGGACTCAAACCAGTGCCCATATGGAATGCCGGCACTGCTGGCAGCAGCTTTACCTGCTACACCACAGTGCCGGCCCAAAGATCTCATACTGATAAGTGTGTAATTATAATGTGAAATATAGAAATAAAATCAGAATGAAAACCAGATGTTGTCCCATCTCTCTCAAGGATTTTGCATTAAGAATTATGATCTAAGCACTTGATGAGGTGCTAGTGGTCATTCCCAGAGGTAGCCAAATTCCCAGAGGTACCCAAAAGTCCAATGGCCAACAGTATTGTTATCATTGTGGAGGCAGCAAGTGTTTCAAAGGTGCTTATCCAACAAGCTTTTTGTTCATCAGCACATATGTATCCCATGTCTGGTGGCTTGAGCTGATTCAACACACAGACCCCTAGGACCCTGGGGAAATACTTGAGTAAGATAGCCCATGTATATTACAGCGATTTTTAGGTAAATGGACATAGTTTGTCACTAGCCCAGTGCCCTTCTGTGGTTGCTCTTCATTAATAGAGAAAGTCCCAGGAGCCTCTTGTGTGTAGGTCCATCAGCACAAGTCAAATTGCTTCCTGCTGATGGGTGTTCTTATCTTTTTCTTTTTTTTCTATGTTGAGTATCATTAACTCTTCATTCCTTCCCACAGTCTCTGTGATCATCTGCCTTGAGAAGGTCAGCAGGTGTCCACAGCTCCCAAGCTACTGTGGAGGGGACTTTGGGGCTTGTCTCCTGCGCTTCCAGTGGTTAGCGTGTTCATACAAGTCCCTGCTTCCAGTTGGGTTTGCCAGAATGGTAGGTGGCTCTTCTTGGGGAGCTTGACCTGGTTCGAGCTCCATTATTTGTGGGGGAGGATTTCTTTGGTCCACGTCTCCCCTAGGCAGGTGGTGTAGGTGCCCAAATACCTGTCACCTCCTTGCCGTGAGTTGTATTCCATTTCTCTTGCAAGCCTCAAGAAAGCCACTTCTCATCCACACTATGGGATTCAGTTTGCCCATGGTCGACACTTTTCCTAGTCAAAACTCACTGTTTTTTAACAGCACAGTGTAAAACAGTCCACTTCCACAGTAAATAGTGACTAATAACTCACAGGTATGTACCGCTGACTTGCTATGTGCCAAGCACTTACTGTCAGCATTCTGTGTGTTTTGTCAGGGAGTCTTCTGGACAATCTCATAAGCAGTTGTACTGTTCCTGACTCTCACTTGCAGGCTAGGAAGCCAGAGACACAGAGCAGTTTGGTAACTTGCTCAGGTCTGACTTACCCAGGAATAACCCTCCTAGTTCCGAGGCTCTGCCCCTATCTCTTATCACTAAGAGCTATGTCATTTCAGGGTGGTTAATGTTGGATTCCAATAGCTTTTTCAGGTTGATTGCATTCGGTCATTTATGAGAGCAGGTAGATTGTTTTCTGAATCTGTGGAGGAGATACAAGGGGACTTTGAAAATTTGTGGAAGGTGGAACTAAAAGATAATTTATTTTGGTATAAAACATTTTGAAAGCTAGGTATATGAGTAGTCTTCAAAAAATTCAAGAAAATTGCATATTGTGAAAAACTGCAGAGATTTCAAAACTTTTTGCATCAAAAAAATTATCTTTTAATTCCATTTTCCATGAAATTTTTGAAGCACTCTCTTGTACCAAGAGAGACCTCACTAGCTCAGCCCATTGGCAGGCCTCGGCATTGTGGACTTCTCCACTTGCCGTCTGAACTCTGCTCCTGGGAACTTAAGTGCCAAGGCCTCTTGTTCCTATTTCCTTTTTCTTGGATAGATTTTTCTCAGACACCTCCCTCTTCCTTCTAAGCTTTTCTTCCATTCCTCTTTCCTTTTTCTGAAACACAATCAGTCTCTTTACTTTTGGTGGGAGGGTGGGGGAGTGGGGCTGGTTCAGGCTCCCTGGATGGCTTGAGCGTCTGGAGCTTTGAGTAGAAGCACAAGACGCATTGCCCCGCAGTAGAAGCTGGGTCCCACTGGCTTGTGTATGACTCGTGTCTGATTTGTTGTTGTTCCTCTCTCACTAGGCTGGGCCCAAACCCCTGATTTACCCAAATGTTGGAGTTAACATTCTCGGTCTCCAGGTAAAATTATGAACGAAATATGGATTGTGGTATCTAATATAAAACCATAACCTGTTTTTATCTGGGCTCCATCCTGGGACTATATTCTGTCCGGAGGCACTGAGAAACTTCTTTGCCTCTGCTGTTTGATATATTAAAGTTGTTGAATTATATCCCACGTTATTGATCTTGGCAAATGTGGGTTTCCGAATTGAGAGAGAAGGAAATGGCGCTATGTTGTTTCCGTGCAGTTGGCTGAATTATTTCTAGCCTCTAAAGGAAAGGGATTCTATTCCCAGCCCCAGTCTTTTCATATAAAGTCAGTTTATGCTTTGCCTTTTTATTTTTTAAAGATTAATTTTACTTATTTGAAAGGCAGAGTTACAGATTTGAGGGTGGGGAGAGGAAAGAGAGAGAGAGAGACAGACAGACAGAGAAAACTTCCATTCTTTTACTCCCCAAATGGCCACAACAGCCAGGGCTGGGCCAGGCCAAAATCAGGAGCCTGGAACTCTATTTGGGTCTCCGCCTGAGTGGCAGGGGCCCAAGTACTTAAGCCATTCTCCACTGCTTTCCTAGGCACATTAGTAGGGAGCCGGATTGGAAGCAGAGCAGCTGGGATTCAAACTGGTGCTCAAATGGGCTGTCAGCATTACAGGCAGTCGCTTAACCCGCAGTGCCACAATCCCTGTCCTAACACTTTGCCTTTTTAAGCCATTGATCAGTTATATACATTTGGTGTGTGTCCTGTGTAGACTTTATTTTGACTCAGCAGCAGTGGGAAGTCCTCCATTTTACATTTAGCAACACTGTTTAATAGTCCCTTGTACAGGCTGCCTTCCTTGCATTCAAGACTGAGGAGAACAAAGGAGATTTTAGGTTGTTGGCGCTGGTCAATGGCACATAATTCATGTAGTTTTATATTTCATATTGTTTTGAAGACTCATTTTTGTTTCTTGGTTAAGCTGTTGTTTAGAAAGGATGCTTTACAATCTTTCCAGTATTTTTACTTAATATTTCATAGACTGGTATTCCCCTGAACCCCATAAGGAAATTCTGAATGTTGAAATTCCTGTGGTGTCTTGAAGCATCTTGTTAGAGAGTAATGTTTCTCCAATTCATTAAGCTTCTAAGAGTTTTCTGTTATTGAATGAAAAAGAATTGTAGGTATTTCAGGAATTCCTGAATAGCTGTTTTATAACCAGGCCCATGAAAAGAAAGTGGTTTTAGGTTTGGTGTTTTATATGTAATGTGAGTGTCAGACTTTAAAAATGATGCAAGAAGCTAATACCCTTACTTTACCAAATGTCCTTTGACTTGGAAAGAGAAATTACTTAAAGGCAAAAAACAAAAGTTTTGCTAATACACATTTGGCTGGACTTGTTTATGGGGCATCACTTTAAAAGGAAGACTCAACCCCTAAGAACCAGTGTATGTGGTGTTGGTGGCGATTTCAGAAGATACTCATTTAAGGCGATCCATTCTGATAGTTGATCCGTATATTTTATCTGTACAGGTTATATTTGAGAATGCATTTTTACAGAATTTCAGTATTTTATTTGATTTTAAGGTAACTTTTGAAAATAGCTACAGCATATTGTAATTATACATGACCAGTAAGTTATACTTTGTTTTAGAAAATTAAATATTTTTATAATTTTTTTAACCTACTGAGTCATCACTCTTGCTAATTTTATTGCTTTAGTGTCTTCTTTGTAGGAAGAGATGAGTTTATTGAGAAGTTAACAAAATAGGCTGATTTTATACCAACATTAGTTTTAGACTACCTTGCTCTTGTTTTGTTTTTGGCAGCAAGAAGTGCACACACCAGTAGCCATTTTTCTATGTTAAACAACCATAAGGCTTATTCTTTTCTTTTGCTTTATTATTGCCTCAAACCATGAGAACCACTTGTACTTCATTTATGTTTAATTTTATACAAAGATTTTTAATCTGTCTGGTTTAGCTCTAGGCTGTCTGTGTGATAAGTTAATTGATTGATGGCATATAATTCTGGATTCAGGCCAGGGATATTTTTTTCCTAAGGAAATGAAAGTGGTGATTGCTTAGCATGTAAGATTCTGGGATGTTGAAATATGTGAGTATCTGAGCAGCTGCCATCTGTAAACTTATACTGTAAGTTAACTTCTGAATTTTAATGAAGTCTTGAGTTTTGTGAATGCCATTCCCTTCAGTGACACTCAAGTAGTAGGGTATTCATTCAAAGCTATTATCTTTTGGCGTATGTCTCTTAATTTGTTTTTTATTTTATAAGGAAAAAAGTAGGTCTTTAAGAAGATCATGGTTTATGTTCCAGCATTTAGTTTTTATTTTTTCAAAAATCAATTTTCTTTCAAGGAATCCATATTCTTCTTATCCTGTTAATTTGCTGAACTTCATCCTGACAAAGCAATCTCACATTGTTTTATCTCACCCAGACCACCTGGCGGCGCTCCGTGGTAGGTGCTGCTGTCTTCAGTGGACACACTGTTGGGGCCTAGATGCGCCACAAGGGTGCCTGGCACCCTCCAGTGGCTGGACTGGCACCTGGACTCAAGTTCAGGTTGGCTGGTCTGGGATCCAGTCCCCTTTCTACTGTGCCACGGGAAGCTCTTAGGTTTTGTTTTCCCTTGTTTTTCTATTAAAAAGGAATCCTTCACCCGGGCTACAGGCCTGGCTGCCGCCTACTTCTCTGTGCTGTCTCCCCTGTTCCCTGACCTGCCCTGTGCAGCACAGGCTGCTGGGCACTTTGGCCCCTGGGCCTCACTTGCTCTCTCCAGGTGCTTTTGCCTAAGCCCCTCTTTCAGAGTAGACCGTTCTCTCTTCCTGCTCCTCATTCCTTCTTCCCCTACTCCAGGCCCAGGTATTGCAGGCCAAAGTCAAAGTCTTCTTGGTGCTTCCTCCCCTCCCCCCATTACATACTCTCTCCCCATTACATGCTTTCCTCTCTGTGGGAGTTCCTTTTTGCCTGTATTTTAATTTGATTGTCTGCATTAGACCTGGCCCTGCAAGGATAGGGCCTTCGGCCAGTTTTTCACCCATTGTATTCTCAGCTCCTACCATGCAAACCAATGCCTAAGAGGAGTTTCTGTATTCAGAGGGGTGGATGAAGGAATGAGTGTTACAAAGAAGCATCCATTGGCCGGCGCTGCGGCTCACTAGGCTAATCCTCCACCTGCGGCTCCAGCACACTGGGTTCTAGTCCCGGTCGGGGCACCGGATTCTGTCCCGGTTGCCCCTCTTCCAGGCCAGCTCTCTGCTGTGGCCCGGGAGTGCAGTGGAGGATGGCCCAGGTGGTTGGGCCCTGCACCCCATGGGAGACCAGGAGAAGCACCTGGCTCCTGCCTTCAGATCAGCGCGGTGCGCCGGCCGCAGCACACCACTTGGCTAGATTTGGACAAATTATGAATCTTTTTGTTTTTTTTTTTTTCTGTCCCAACTCCAATGAATGATCCTTGAGTGCAAGGCAGGGCATGGAGTGCTTTTGCTCTGTTGCCTTCTTTATCTCTGTGTCTTAGGATTTGTTCCTGTATACAAGGCAGGAGCAGGTAGCCCCTGGAAGCCACCAGGTACAAGTGTGCAGGTGATACATGGCACAGTGAGGGAGCTACACAGGCATTTAAATGCAGACCATAGATCACTGGCAGAATTGAATAGATCAGGCTGGATTTTAAAATGTTCCCTGCATGTGGGCTACTTCATGGTGTTGAAAGTTTTCAGGAAATGGGACTATTTCTCCGTAGCTTCAGATAAAACTTATTCTTCAAATGTCATAGCATCAGTGTTTCTCCTTTGTTCATTTTTCAGGCTCCCTTTATTGAACCTGCAAGTTGAGGCACATGTACAAATCCATGTATTTAACTTCTTTGCCTGCTGCAGGGGAAGTTTAAGATAGTGAAAATTTTCTCCTAGTCTAAGAATAGGCTGTTTCCAGCCTGAGCTATAATAAATTGTTAAACTTACTGAAAGTTATACCTTTCACTTCTTCTTAAGCTTGATTGCTAAAATATAGGTAGAGTGAATTCTCACAATATTGCACATATACATGTACTTCAATGTCATTAGATGACATACTTGAAAGTTAAATTTGACTGGAAATTTATGATTATGATTATTAATTTGGATTATTTTTATAATGTTATTTCATATTTCCCATCTTACATTCTCCTTCTTTTGGGCTGATAGTTTGAGAAGTTAACTACATATGAGGGTAATTCAAAGAGTTGGTGGAAAATGCATGGATTTCAAGAATTTTTGGTACCAAAATAATCTTTTAATACCATTTCTCCACAAATGCTTTGAAATAGGTTCAGTGAGAGGTTGTATTATGTTGAAAAGACAAAGAAATAAACTTGGGAAATTACTCTTCCTCTGGCATTTCATCCCTACCCCACACTTAACTTTTGGGATTCTATCAGTTAAATATTTTGTCACATTTCTGGTCAGTTGGTGTCTTCAAATGAGAATAGTGCCATTTATTTTTTAAAATTTCTTTTTTATTAAGATTTATTTATTTGAAAGGCAGAGAGAGAGAGAGATTGACCTTCCATCCTCTGGTTCACTCCCTAAGTGACTACAATGGCCAGGGGTAGGCCAGGCTGAAGCCAGGTTTCCCAAATGTGTGGCAGGGGTCCAGGCCCTCTCACTGCCTTCCCAGGCACATTAGCAGGGAGCTGGGTCAGAAATGGAGTAACCAGGGCTCGAACCAGCACTCACATGGCATGCCAGTGTCACAGATGACTGCTTAACTTGCTGCACCATAATGCCAACCTCACATGGTGCTATTTCTTGCTGAACAATATTTTTGTTCATTATTTTTACTTATTTATTTCTATTCTCTTTGATGACTTGTCCTAAACCCAGGAGCACAATAGCTCTGCTGTGAGGTAGGAAGGGCCTAGAACTCTGGGTGGAGGATTTATTTATTTATTTTTTTTTTTAAGGACGATATAAAAGTTCAGAAAGAGCACACATCCATTCAGTTGATCCCGAAGATAGATGTTAGGCTGTGCCAAACCCAC